CTTTTCAGGGATCCAGTTTTCTCCTCTTTGCCACCCAGCTCAGGGATGAAGCGGGTGAGACAGGCTGGAGGCAAGTGGGCTCTGGTAAAGTTTCCCATGTGCTTCATTCTCCCCAAGAATGATGAGAGTGATGAAGGGGTTTTCTAACAGCCTCCTTGTGTTTTTCATTCTTCCCCTCTGGAGTTCAGGGAAGGAAGTTAATAACTGCAACATCTTTTCTAGCCATATACATAGAGAACATAACATAAGCACATAAGCTTGTCCACATCAGGGTAGACCAAAGGCCCTTCTACTGTAAGATCCTTCTCTAGCAGTCAACAAATTATCATGAGCATATGGGGGGAAAATTTTTTCCTTCCTTTGCCCGTGTGGAGATGCAGAGATGCTGAGTTCATCATCAGCCCCAAGGCCTGTTCAAGGCAGAGACAGAATCAGAAACTGGAAAATCATGGTGTCTTTTCAGAAGTTTAGCAGACAGGCCCATCCTGCTTCATCCATCACTGTCAGATATTATTTATTCAGAATGTTTACTGGAGCAAAAACAAGGCTAAATATTTTATACATATATACATACTATACATACATATATATATATTTGCAATTGGTATTAGTTTTCCACCTCTGTTTAACTTTTGCTGCCAAGAACACTCTTTAAATGAGTGCTGCCTTTCTCCTTGGCTAGTAAAAGCACCTGCAAATTAGCTTCCTCTTAATTTTCAAATGAGCAAGTACCGGTTTGCAAAAGATGCTTCCAGCTTTTCCATATTTTGTTTGGGAACAAGCACAACACAAGGCCTCCCTGAGACTTTCCATGTTCTGCACAGCTCCAGCTGAGGAGCACAGCAATTACGCACAATAACCTCTTCCATTTGCATTTCATTGCACAGCTCTCAAAAGCAGGTTCTGGAAAGCTTGGAAAATTCACATGCCATGCTTGACGAGAGCAGGGAAAATAATCCCTTCTTCTGCATCAGTGCTCACAACATCTCTGTGCTTCCCGTTTCAAGTCCTGTTCCTGATACCGCTGTGCTGTCTTTGTCTGCAGCACTGCCCTCATTCAAAATGATTGCAGCCTCTGCTTACCATGCACAGCATATAAATCCTTCGGAGGCTGCTGCTCTGATTTCTCAGTCAGGAGCACTGATTTGCCAGGAACTCAGCCAGGCTGCAGAAGGCAGGTATCTCCTTTGCCCTCCACGTTGCTCCACACTCACTGAGTCCTGGCCAGGGAAGGACTAAGCAGAACTTCGTTTTAGCCGAGGGGGTCTTCTTTCCTGTCTGCCAAGAGAAGCAAAAGCAAACTTTTTGCCTTGTGCCAGTTCCGAAGAAAAAACATCCTTTGTGCTTCTCTGCCTTGGGAAGGGCACAACAGCTTCAGAGCCTTTCTTCTTTTAAATTACCTTTGAACTAAACTGGAATTCCCATTAGCCTCCTTCAGCACAGCAAGCGCTTTCTCTCAGCAGGGTGAGACCTGTCTTCTGGTAGCAAACAAACAGCCAGGACCAGCCCCCTCCACAAGTCCCACTGCACAGGAGGAGGTCTTGTCTCTGGGCACCAGCCTGGGGCAGGTGAAGGAGGGGTGCAGAAACCATGTGGCTGCTCTTAGGGGAACTACCTACACACTTTATAACTATTGCTTAGAAAATGGGGAACGCATATTGGGTGCTCAGATCACCCAGGAGTTACCTACAGACTAGTTCTGGATACAAAGATAGAACTGATTTCTGAATATGAGATTTTTCCACCTGGAGAGGGTATCCCATGGGGCTTTCAGAGTATCCCACACAAAAATACAAGCAACGAACACCAGCCCATACTCTAGCCAGACTCGGCTAGCAATAATACTGCTTAGCTTTGATGTTACCTAACAGGAATCTTCATTACAAGCAAGATAAATTGTGTTCCCATTTTTCAGAACAAAATTCAGAGATGTGTCTTCAGAGACTTGCCCTGAGACTCAGCTCAAAATTACTAACTTAGAATACACACAGAATTACACCCAGAGAAGGCATTAGTTCAGGTATGAGAAGCTCTGGAGATGTGGAGATCATTACCAGGATTTATCCATCACCTTGCCTACCCAGAGATAGAGCCACGCTAACATGGTTATACCATTTCTCTTATAGGGAGGACTTAGTTGTGCATGTTTACAGCCTACCACTTGCACTCCACCTTGTGTACAAATGCCATGTGCCGGGAGCTACCTGCAGCAGAACTGCACCAAAAGAAAAGAAGACACGGCTTGGTTTCCAAAGGTCACGGAACTGCCTTGGCTCCACAGCAAACCAGTGCTGGAAGTGTTGTATAGGAAAACAGACTTTCGGCTTTAAGGCCTCCTGCAATTAAATCCTTTGGTAAAATATAGTTTCTTCTAGTAAGTGGAGACCCAAGGGGGTTCTGAATTTAAATTAACTTCATGAACAAAAATAAATTAAAAGTATCTAGCTCTTTTTTTTTTCTTCAAGCCAACCAGCAATTATAAGGAGCTTTATCACAACCACCAAGTACAGAGTATGAGGTCTTTAAAAAGGCTCACAAAAATCATTACAGTACTTTGAATTTCAAATAAGAGTGAGTTCGATTTTATACTTCAGCAAATAAGAATACATTCATAAATTTAGCCCAAACACAAGATTTCTTTATTTTTGTATTCAAAATAGCATTTTTTTTCTCTGTGGACTTTCCACCTAATTAAAAAACAGATATTTATTAATGCATAAGCACTGTAATTTTTCCAATCAGTAACAAAGCACACCAAATACTATAATGCATCTTGCCCTTTTATTATATTGTATTATAGACAAAGAGAAGTACATACAGAATAATCATTGCCAGCACAACCGTAAAGTTGCAGTGTCACTCTGATCCCTTTGGGAGTCAGAGAACATCCACTTGTCATTCATCCCACCTTTTTATTGTAACAAGCTGCGTATATCAAAACTCAACTGTGAGCAACCATTTTTCTAAATAAAAACTCAGCCAAAAAACCCCAGTGCTTGCTAACAGGACTTTGCAAGATTGTTTAAGGTAGCAGCAGAATAAGCATGCACAATAGCAATACAAGCCCACAGACATGCTGCCCCCTGGAAAGGTGAGCTGTGCTGGAAAATTCACAGGTTCAGTGCTGGAACTCTATCATCTCCTGCAGAAAGCCAACCTGAAATCTGTGCATTGATTTGGTTCAAATCTAAGTGGGAGTAAAGTAACTTGGCATTGGTATTTTGCAAAGGAGTTGTGTTAAAGCTATTGTTTTATCCATAAGATAAAATGTGGTCTATGATAAGAACCTCTACTGCTCCCCATCAGGCAGTTCCCAGTGCTACAGTGGAGTGCAGAAGCAATGTGTTGCTGTGTCATGCTGCTTCTCTTTTATACAAACTAGGTCCTGATGACCTATAGAGGGTTTTTCTAGAATACTACAAAGGACAAAGTGAATTTCCTACTTGAAATGCAGGTGCAAGGAAGCTTTTCCTTGCGGAGAACCACATGCCTTTCAAACAACTTTGGCAGGGCATATGGTAATATACTCCTTTGCGTTACTGAGTATGACTGCACACAAAATCGTAAGTTGGCAGTGGGTCACAGTTCCCTATTTCCCTGTGCCTAATGTGGTAGATAAAATGGGAGAGAAGCGGTTTGGAAACGTACAGAGAGCTCCCATTGTAACTTACTGAGCAGCCTGACAGCAAAATATCAGCCACTTATGGGAGGAGAGACATGTTAATGAGAATTGGTAAAATGACTTTGAAAACCACTGTTCCCATACTGTTGTTTGTATAAAAGTTTCTAGCCAGTACATAGATGCTCTAGCTGATACACAAATCTCTATTAAATATACTTTGGGGATGATATTGTAAGCCCTATGAAAAATCTATTATTATCTACAGGAACTTTCCATTGGGGCCATTTTCTGTTCTCCTCCCCAAAACAAAGCAAAAAGGAAAACAACGAGAAAGGATTTGCTATTCTCTTTTGAAGAGTAACAAGGTGCAATCTTGACGTCTACTCCTACTACTCCTCCACTGCCTAAACTGTTTTCTTCTCTCTGCTCTCACACTGGCTGCAGTGGGAATATTAATAGTTTCGGCACTGTAACCCACTGCTAGGGAGTGTAAAGCCCATGCAAGAGCTATGGACCATTTTGGTAGAACTCAAGTATTTCTCAAAATACAGTTTGGAAGAGACTCCCGGGCACGCAGGCGTTTTGTAGGCTCTCTGCCAAAGCTCTCTGTAGAGGCCAGTTTGAGTGTTTCAATCCAGCATGTGATTTGCTTAATGAAAGACACTTCTCCAGAAGATTTTGGCAGATGCAATCAGTTCAATTGCCAGGCGGTATTCATGTGATTATAAATGTTACTGATCACATTAGATACTTAATAAATCTCTCCCAAAAAGATCACAGCTACTGTGTGGCTCTGAAGAAATTAAAATTGTGATACAGATTACTGTGTTTGCTGCGCACTGGACCATTGATACAATCGGGAACAAATACCTTCCTTGGACTGCCAGGCACTCAGTGACAACTATTAATTTTTATATCAAGCCATGACTGCTCGTTTGTAAATGTTTAGCTATGCATCATTGCAAAGTAGCTTCCTTTTCATGGTAGGGACACATTCTACCATAAATACATTAAAGAATTTGACTTCACTGACTTTCACAGATCTACGGCAGTTCACATGTGCGGAGGGGTTGGCCTGAGAGTCCAAGGACAACTTTTTGGCTTGAAATACCAGAAAAGCGAGATGCTATCCTTATATAAAACCCATGAGCGAGACTTTGGCACTGTTTCGTCTGTTGACATTTCAGCAGATGCAATATCGCATACAGTAATGATAAAACACATCAAAGCAAAAATGATTTAACTGAGCTGTACCTGTTTGGATAAAAATTGTTTTCCTTGTGGTGTGGCACAACTTGTGCTCTGTATCTTCCTGCAATTTATTGAACTGCATTTTAAAAATGAATAAATGTCCATTGGCCAAATCCCAGTGCTCATTTCAGTGTATTGCACGAAAGCAATCACACAGGCCTCTCTTTTCTGCTCTCATGAGGAGGGTTTCTGTCTGCAAAAAAAACATGAAATCAAAGAACTGAATATATCACTTTGGAAGAGTATATAATTGATTAGACTTAATCCCTCTGCACAGCTGTAGTCAAGGTGCTTTGCTGAGTGAAAAATCATCGTTATTAGTGCTGGTTTTCATCCAGAAAAAGCGGTGAAATAAGTATATTCAGAACCAAGATGCATGGAGAGTATTTTTATAGTTTAAATGTTTTCATTTTCACAGTTAACTTTAGGGAGCAGGCTGTCAAAATTATTAAAAGTGTCCTTTATAAATGCTGAGAAAAATCCCACTTTCAACTGCACTGCTCTTAATTCCCTGGCAGTGATTGATGGCTTCCTGTTGACCATGTCTTCAGCAGCGCATAATTGGGTTGCGCCAGACAGTGTGTGCTGAGGAGCCAGTTGTGCGCTCCGTTACGCTGCTGCTTCTCTGGAATAAGTCGGAGTTCAACCCAGCTGTCAGTCTAAGCTTGTTGTCTTAGAGTCCTAATCTTTCAGGGCAGATCTAGACTTGGGTTTGTGGCTCCTATTTTAACCTGAGTTAATTTACTGACAGATGCCTTATTATCAACTCCATTTGGAGCCCTGCCCCCAGAACTCCATCAAAAGCTTAAAAACTGTTCTCTATATACATCATTTAAAATTACTTGCTCTTGGTTTTGGAGCACCTTAGCGGGAAAGCATTTCCAAGCTTTTTTTCTCTGTATCCAAGAAAAAAAAATTAACTCCATATCCTCTAAGTATCATGTATTTAATTGTGATCAAATAATTTAAATCTCTTGTGGGTCCCGGTCTCACTCTTTGAGAAACAAAGGCTGACTTTCTCAAAATGCACCGTCATTTCAAAAGCTGAGTCTTTTGCAAGACTCCAAATAAAATTGTTGGTGCAAGCAACTCACAGCAGCAAGTGCAATTGTGACTGAAGAGAAACTTCTTCCTGAGCGTATCTTGTGGTTTTCACCCTGTGGTCTGTGGTCCCTTAAGTAGTTTGTAGACTGACTTTGAAGAGTTTCTTAAGGGGAAAAGAAGTTACCAGGCTTAAATTCATCATGAATGGGTTTCCCATCTGCACTGGGGAAGGCTGAAAACCACTTGTTAACAAATGATCTAAAAGCTCTGTGAAACAACAAGGTCTTCAGCCTGCTGGTGTTCCTCTGACATGATGCCTCCTGACAAATTAGAAACAGCAAAGGGCTAATCAACAAAGACACACACAAGTTCCAAAGGAGTAGCTGGGCACTTCTATCCGGGGACCTGTGCCACCAAGCTCTGCCTTGCTTGGCCAGCAGAACCTCTGTCCCGCAGCAGTTCCCACTCTCGACTGCTCATTTCTTGTTTTCAGGCTGCAAGCTTTTGCAGGGAGAGGCTGCTTCAGAACTGCTTTTACCTCCCCTCCACAGCCCTCTATCCTTTTCAACTCAAAACTTTTGACTTCCAACTTTGCATTAAAGAGGACTTGTTCACTTTCCTTGTCTGCTTTCACTTATCGGCTTAGTGCAATGGCAGGCGTTACTAAACACTGCTCCTCGCTTGTACAATGCAATCCTGGATGAGTGAATGATCTCGTTGTTGGGAGCCCAGTAGAAATCACAGAATCATCTTAACATCAAACAGGCTTATTGGATTTCACCATTATGCCTACAAGCTCTCCCCATTGCCATAAACCCTGCCTAGGCATCACTCATGACTATTACCAGGCAGGAAGAGCAGCTCTGGGAGCACTCAAATGTAAGCTGAAAAACTATGAAAGAGAAGCATCAATTACAAAAATTAGTTGCGGCCCTCTTGGCATCGGCTTAGGAAGTGTCTGATAGGAAGAGTCCTGCATGGGACTTGCCCTTGTAACAACAACTTTCACGACTCGGGAATCATTGAATGAAGTTATTTGTGTGTAAAACTTGAAAAATTATAGTTGGTCAACATCAGCCCAGCACTAGGGATTAAGTAAGGCCAAGGAGGCTATACCCTTCAGGGAACAGAAGGCCACAGTGTGCCATTTGTAGGGCCCTGGCCACTGCATTTCACTTTAGTATCTCTGCAGCATTCAATAATTTGTATTTAACTAAAGCATCTATTCCAGAAATGCCTTTGGATCCTCAATCCCAAGGCTGGAAATACACCCTTTCTTTACTACTAGTATTAAACTTTCATGGCTGTCAAAGGGTAGGTGATGTTCCAGATGACTGGTGTCATTCGTTTTGGTGATGCACTGTTCTGTAACACTGAGAACTCTCTGAATCAGTGCCTCGGCATCTCAGGCCTGTCCAGGTCCTCACAGAAACGAGAGCTTTTCTTGCAGTGCGCTGGGACCAGCTTCTCCCTTTATATTCCGCCTCACCTCTTACAAGACAGCATTGCTCCCTGATGGGTTGTATTCTCACGCCACCCTCCAAATAGAATAGCCAACACAGATGTCTGAATATCTCTGTAAGTGGGATTAAAGAATTGCGCTGCCTCCACTGCATTAAAAAAAAAATCTCCCTGGTGCAGCTAAGACAGAAATTTCGTACCTCCTTTAAGTTCCTCTGTAAAGCCTGGTGACAGCATAAGAACCAACACAGCTGCGATTGCACATGGTCTTGCCATGTCATGTGTAGGTACAAAACATTTCAGTTGACCCTAATCCGAACAGGTGAAACCCCGCTATGCACCAGAACAGCCCAGTAAAGCCTCTCCAGTCACAGTCTGCCACTTTGCAGTTATTTTGTACGACGCCAGCGCATGGGAAACTTTTGCAGCGCAGCCCGTACTGCACTCAGAATTCTGCCCTAATCAGTTTGCTATTGATAGCTCAAGAAAGCTAAAGTCACTCCAACCTTTCTGTGTGGGGCCCTACGTGATTGCCCAAGGTCACACGAAACCAAAGGCGAAGCAACATAATTGCCCTTCTGTGTTATAGTTTGAGACACACAATTGATTTACGCCTCTTTGGTTGACTCTGCTGTGAATGACAATTTGAGCGGGGCGTGACTTTAGAGGAACAAGGAGCCCTTCTCACCTACCAACAGAGGTGGCACTGGTCAAAGGCACGGAGGGAGCACCTAAAGGAATTGGGAGACGTGGTTACGAACTGGTTTCACTCACCACAAGTTGCTTTACTGTCATGCTGCTGGTATTAATGGAGCTGCTAGGGAAGGAGTGGTAGGACCAGACATACATGGGGGGGCTTTATTAGAGGTAAGAGACCTCCTGCCTCTTGCAAACTTCAGACAGCATGGGAGCCACTGTGGTAAGTCCTACCCCAGTCAGTGTGCATATTTACGAACCCACCTAGGTATGCATTGCTAAAATCAGGGCATTTAACACACCCTCATTTTTTGTTGATTGGGACCTCTGCAACACAAGACCGGCATGTGTAGTTGCCAAATGCCCTGTGTGCTGTGATAACTACCCAAGCAAACGTGCTTCCCCCCTTTTCGCGGAGTATCGACCCACGAGCAAGGAATATATGTGCTTCCCTTTCCTCTCTGCCAGCCCTGCCCGCCGCCTTCTTGCTCTCTCATTCACTTGCTGCTCCTGCCCGGTGAACAGTCAGTTCACAGCTCGGAAGCAATGTTGTGAGATAAAGAGTAAATCATCCTTCTTGTTCTTCTCGCCTTCATACATCTTCCTTCCTTCTCTGTTTGATGCAGGGACTGTCTGGGGTAATTTCTTAGCCTGTTAGGCAAGAAGCCCGACTAGGTGATCTTTAATGAACTTCTCCAGCCTGTGAAAAATAATCTGTACCCGGCACAATCGTGTTTGCTGCAATGGAAGCACATCAGCAGAGATGTCATGTCTGTTGTAGACAGACAGGCAGAGCTGGCCACTTGCAGATAAAGGCTAAGGAAAAGCATTTCTATAGAAACACATACCCGTGTGTCTAGATTATATGCCGTCTTCTTTAAATCCTGCAACGCCCTCTGCATGAACTCAAACGCATGGCAGTCAACACAGGGGCGACCTAGAAAAAGGTACAGAAGAAGACATCACTGTCACAGCATGAAATCTGGAGTGTGGCAGTCCAGAGAGGGAATACTCAGAGACCTTGCAATGCCAGGAGAAAACCCATTTTACTGGGCACCTGCATCTGCATGTGGCCAAAGTTAGGGCTGCCTGTGGACAGGGCTGTATCTATCCTTGTGCAAACGTGTAAGGACCAGCAAAACCACAGGAGCATTTTGCTGCGTGTGCTTTTCTGAACATAGCCCAGGCTTGATTCTGCCCGGTGCTGTGTGCCTTGAGCCCCCAGCCTCTCCCCTTAAAATGGAAAACCTCAAAAACTTCTCAGATATGGGTTAATTCTCAACTGAGACGCTGAAAATAGCAGTTGCAGTGGTTCAGAAACCAGACAGGCAGGTCTGTTTTTACAGGAGCTCTTACAGAGCAGCTTGGCAAGGGACAGCGCCAGATCTGTATTTGCTTCCTTTCACCTGCTGCTGTATTTTTTCCCTGCCAGGAATGCAAAGCATCCCACTGGCTCTGCAGCTGGTGCCAGTGTGTGTGCACAGAGGGGCAGGAAAAAGAGTTCAGCCACCTTCTAGTACATTTCTTCAGAACTCTTCATGGTTTACTGCAATGGGACCCCAAATCGGCCAAAGCCCTGAGGTGGATTTGTTTAGGTTTTTAGCTCTCAAAAAAAGTTCAAAAGGCTGTTAAAAGTCGAGATTAATTCTTTGAACTAAAATCAGGAACTCACTTTTAAAAACAGTGAAAACTGAAAACAAGTAGTTAATACAGAATCGCAATATGGTTTAAAAGCTTTTCTCCCACTGCATGTTGTATCGTTGCAGGTGGGTCTGCGCTTTCAGCTAATTCAGGGACTCTGAGTGGTAGCAAAAGCTCCTGTTTTTTTCACACTATCCTTTCCCTGTGCCTGCAGAGAAGAGGAGGAGGAGGAGGAGGAGGAGGTGGAGGAGGAGGGAGGGACTTGACAACAACTAAAATGGCTCACTTCTAGACCTGGGCATTTCTGCTCTGCCGGGATTCACCCTGCACTAATCTCAGGCCCTTTCGTTCAGTCACAGAGTTAACGAAGTGTGGGTTTTGAGAAGAAGAAATTGCAGATATGGGAGGAGATGCAGAGGGAATGGGGAGAGAGGACAACTTACATTGACCATAGAGCGCCCATGCTGGGGGTGGGGGGAACAACGACTGAAATCCTTGTCCACAGGCAGCCACTTGTGCTCCTCTGACAAAGCCAAGAGGGTGCAAAGCTGCTGCTGAGATGGCTGGGGAGCTGCCCAGAGCCAGAGCGCTGCCATGCAGCACTGCAGCACCCTGCGCCCGGCTCCCTGCTGCCCACATGCACTTCTGAGATGGGCCCGATGGAAAGGAGCAGCCAGAGTGCTTCTTGGTCCCCAGCAAGCCTCTTAGGCGCTTTGACCTTTTCAGGAGGTGCTCTGCTCCCACCCATCCTCCTCCAACTCCCCTCCATGCAGCTCCCATCTCAGGGAGACCCAGGGATCAAGCCAGGCATTTAATTCCAGGGACACAGGGAGATGCTAAGTCCCCACCTCTATAAGACCAGCATCACTCACAGAGATTCTCTCCAGGCCTGGGAGGAGTAGAAACAGGATGGTTTTGAGCACATTTTAAAGACACTCAACCCCCTTCTGTTTTCAGTATTTCAGCATTTTAGTTGGTTTTGCGTCAGATGATGGAGCAGAGCCCTTAGAAAGAACCTGCATCCTCAGCCTGCTGTCAACAAATCCACCGTTCACTTTGTGCCATGGCCTGCTCCCTCCCATTGTTGTGGTCTTCTCTGAAGGAACCTTGCCCTGGCTCCCCCTTGGTAAAATGCTGCTTACCCTAAAGTGCGTGTCACTAAAGTGTTCTCAAAATCAGAAGTTGGAGAAAAAACAAACTATGGGTCATAAATGAATGTCTCCTGCTCCGGCACTGTGGAGAAAGCATCTTTTAGGAGAGCCATGAATTCCATGGTCAATCACTGCTTGCCACCCAGGAAGTCTTCCCAGGCCCTCATGAAGTCCATGCCTGTGTGGGATCATTCACTGGTATTTATGGCAGTCAAGTGCTCCTGTGTGGACAGGGAGGTACTAGTGGAACGGCACAACCACGCCAAGTGGTTATTTCTGCCACCTCTGTGAAAGCAGCTGCCCTGGCATCCAAGCAGCTTCTGCAGGAAAACGGTGGTCACACGGGGGACACCTGCTCGTGCAGGATCAGCACATGTGAAGCTTCTAACACAGCACTGCTCTTCAGAGCCCCAGAGCAGATGCAGCCAGTTCTGCCACATAATGGGATATTCACTCTCTCATATGGTTTCCTGGGCTGTCCTCCTTGGTGGAGGGCCCTTCTCCAGGCACAGCTCTCTCGGGGCCAGGTTAGCCCCCGCTGTCCTGCAGCGCTGGCAGTGGGAAAGTTGGTGTCATTCCTCCAGCCAGCTATATCCCAGGATGGGATGCATCATTTTGACTCCCAGCGGCGCAGAGAGGACTCAGTGAAGCAGCACTGCTGGCAGACAAGAGGACCCGAGAGGTGGTGGCGAGCAGCTGGGGAGGTGGCTGGCCACGAACTCTTCCACCCACGCAGCCCTGCAGAGCACGCATCTGTTCAGCGCCTGGGGACTGAACTAGGGCAGTGCTGATCTCGCCTTCAAGCATCTTGCACTAGCACAGAGCAACTTGAATGCAGTTCCCCAGATAAAATAGGGGCAATATCCCACTACCTGGAAAGCCTATAGCTACAGCCAGATTTTTACCAGCAGAGCTGCCCAAGTCCTCACTCTGCCAGGCTTTTAATCTATTATACTAGCCAGCCAGAGTCTCGCAGTAGCCAATAGCAGATACTTAAGGAAGGTATATAAATAAGCCTCTGGCACTGTTCTTTTAGCCCACCAAGAGGTTGGAGGATATCCTCAGTCTGGCTGGTGTTTCTACATCTGATAAGCCCTCCGAGAATTTTTCTCACATTAATTTGCCCCGTAGCTTCCTGAACCCGTGTAAACTTTTGGCATCTACAGCATCCTGTGTCAATGAGTTCCACAGCTCAGCTATTCACTGTGTGAACAAAACACCATTCCTGTCAGCTCTGAAGTCAACATCTGCTGCTTTCATTTCCTGCCTCTAATTTTTGCACTGGAAGAGACAGTTATTAAATATTCACCATCTTTGTCCCACTTATGACTTTGCTGCTCTCCATCGTTCCCTGCCTCGGTGTCTCCTTTCCAGACTGAAGAGCCGGGCTGTTAAGCTGGCCTGCCTAGCTGGGCTTATTCTCTCCTCATGCTCACAGTATTTTCAGTAGGATGCCTGTGGACATTTCCCCAGACTAATGACATCTAAGGGTCTGTTTTCATAAAGGTTTTAAACAAATCTAAGTATGTGCTGTTGCCAATAGGAGCAATCCCACCCTGCTTTCTGTCCCTGGCTACATGTTCCCACACCTGAGCTTGCTCACAGCAGGAGTGGCCATGCAGTTGCTTGGTCAGCTGGATCGCTGAATTTTTTCCTCCAGATCAGATCCTGAATGCCCAAGTTCTGAGTCCAGAACAAGAAACAAGGCAAGGACAGGCTCTGGGAATGAGAAGGGCAGAGGCAGCATAGGCTTACATCAGATTAAAGCAATCATGAAACCAAACCTTAAGTCACATCATAGCAAAGTACAGCAGAGTGCTATTAATTCCTTGCTGACAGCTGGGAACAGACTATCATTCATAGGGAGACTTAACAGGTTTGTGGATTAACATAATGAGAATTATCAAGAGTCAGCTATAATTCTTTAAATGGGTCCTGTCAGCATGAAGACTGTATGTGTCACTGTGTGTTTGGGGAGAAGTGGGGGAGGAGAGCTTAAAATATGCTTCTTGGCTGCTTCTTGGTGAAAAACTGGAACTGAAAGCACTGTGGAAGTCTAATTTACTTTCCCTCGCATGCACATGGCGTTCACTCTTTGTATTTCATGCACCTTGGCTAATGAAAACAGACTGACCGGCTTCTGTTCTTCAAATTCCACATTTTGGCTTTCACAGTGGGTGATCTGGGCTATAAATGCAATGGGAGGGTGGGGAAATGACCCAATTTTTTTTAATGGATTGCACTGAACTTTAAAGAAAATAATGCCCAAACATTAGTAACACCACTTCATACTTGAACAGGCTTTTGCATATGCAAAGTGCTGTGTATAATGTATAAGGGCATGATTAATCACTGCTAATTAGCATTATTCATAAAAAGCTGGGCCTGGCGCTCTGGCCAGCAGCAAGTACGCCAAATGGAGAGCAGGTGACGGTACCCCAAGCCAGATATCGGTGCCACACACAGGGCAGGATCTCTTTGCAATGCTAAGAAGAACTCTGACTCACTCTTGTGCTGCTCTCCTGCGACTCCTGCACCTCCCAAGCTTGCACGAGAGCACTGCTGGCCCTCTCCTGCTCGTGGTGCTGCAGAGGGGACGCATTTCTCCCACCAAGTGGGAGAGAGAGGCTGTTAGTGCCCTGTGGTCCATGAGGGATTGCTCCTGCTAAAGGAACGTTCCCAGTCCCATGTTGCACACGTGGGAACAGAGAAAAGCACCGAGCACCACACTGGTCTGCCCTGCAGAAGGACACTTAGTATGGGCCATGTGCATCATACGTCCCTGTCAAGAACATGTACTAGAGCCCCCTTTTTCTCTCTGGCTTATCCAGGATCACACAGGCACCATTTCACCTGGGCTGACAGTACGGACTTAAGCACCAGCAACAGGGAAGGTGTGTGCACGTGCTGCAGTAACGCCGCCCCCAAAATGGGTCAGTGCCTGGGAGGATCAGCTCCTCGATGAGAAATAGCCAGTGGAGCTGACATCAAGCAGGAAAAGATTCAGGAATGTCTGTACTAGATCACATCAAAGGTCTGCCTGGACCAGTGCTCTGTCTCCAAGCTACATTTCTTGAAGTACATTAAATGTGCCTAGGAGCATTCCCAAGCTTTGAGAGCAGCTGGCATGGGACAGCTCATCTCTAGAACAGTAAACTCTGTCTTCCAGATAGGCAAATGGCCTCCTGCCATGGACAAAAGCGTGCCAGGGACCATCCTAGCAGGTTACTAGTACAGTCATGTGCCCATGCCAGGGAATGTCCATGGGCACTGGTTATAGATGTGACCTTCATGGCTGACAATGCATGCCCATGGAAGAGCACAAGAACAGGGCAAGTATGGAGCGATGTGTCCCCAGAGACCCTCCCCGCCTCAGGAATATGCTGAGGCAGCTCCTGAGCCAGAAGAACTGCTGCTGTGTCTAACAGCCCTTTCTAAGATTTTTTTTCCTTGAATTTACCCAATCAGTTCTGCAATCCCATGCAAACTTGAGGATACAAAATGGACTGCTTGCCACAAAACTTATTGAAGTTAATTAATGCCTAGAAAACAGACACACAAACCAGAGATGGGGTCTGTTTTAGAACAGACAGAAACTTAGCACTAATAAAAAAAAAAAAAGAGAATGGAAAAAGAAGGGAATTCAGCATTTAAGTCCTGTAGAGACAAATACACACAGGTGTATTTGAAAACTAGTAATGGAATTATAGGAGAATAAAATGCAGCAGCTAAATCAGGTCTTGTATTAAATATTTTAGTAGTCACATAAAAAGGTAGCTGTGATACAAAGTAAGCACGACTAAGAACTAGACATTTCTTTGTATGCAATTACCTTCCTTTTTTTTTCTCCCAGAGGATATTTCAAGTTTCTAATGAGTGGCTACTTCCCGCTTGCTGTCACCAAACCACCCTGAGACCTCTGACTCCATCCCCTAATATCTTTGAACTATTGCCTCATTTTGGAGCTAAGAAAGTTTAACTTGAGACTTGCTCAAAGCGACACAGGAAGCTAATACAGAGCTGTGATCCAAATTTGAGAGCTCCCAGCCCCACAGCGTGCTCAGGCCAGTCTGTCCTATTTATTTACTTTTTAGGTTTGCAGAATCGCAGCAGGATTTCAGAAATATATCTATACATGCTTTACAAATACCCTGTTTGGGTCAGCTTCCCCCGTGTCAGTCTATACTACACTACAAGAAAGCTGAACTTGACCTATTGTTCCAACCAAATACTAAAATAAGCAAAATGGAACACCCTAGGAGAAATAAACACAAATTTTCTTCTGACAGTATCCAGACTAGCAAGGACATCATATGTATTGTGGCAAATCTGGAAACAAAACTCTCAAGAAGCAGATCTAAAAGACCTACGACCAAAAAGCTTTAAAGCAAGCTCCAATGAAAATTATAGTACGCTGCTAGTATTTTTTCCTAAATAACTACTAAGCCTTTGCTCGCTTGCTGGCTTTATAAGCGCTGTTTTCATGTGCTTTGCTGGCACGTTACAAATTCATCATTACTCCCTCGCTAATCAGGCAATGCAATGTTCCCCTGGAGCTTACGGTCGGCTGCTGCGGGTTAAGTGGAGGAAGCGCAGAGCAGGACGGGGTGCAGCGGGAGGGCACGGGGGCGCGCAGCAGGTACGTACTTTCTGCAGGGATGACACTCCCAGAGTCCTGGCCGGCCCCCGCAAGCCTCACGCTCAGCAGGCCCACCACCGAGATGAACGGGGTCG